TCATAATTAAATATATATTGATTATTTAATTATTGTGTTATTAATTACCAACTTGATAGTTCCAGTTGATGAACAATATATGATAAATTAATAACTGAGGAATTGGTGGGGAATCCAAGATTTATTCACTTGTGGAAAAAAAAAAATTGTATGACATTACTCTTTATTAGACGAGTCTTCATATCAAACTAGTTTTTAACCCGTGCATTTGCACGGAAAACAATATAATATAACAAAAAATAATAAAAATATATAAACAATAGTAAAAATTATAATATAATCATTGGAAATTTAAAACGTTTGTGGTTTTTCTATCAACAGAATTTCCATCACTACAAATCATATCTTCAAATTAAGACATATAATAGTTTTAATTGTTTAAATAATTATTGTATTTTGTACTATAGATCATATAGGAAATTTAAAAAAAAAATACTAAAAAATAATTGTATTTGGTTGATAAATAATGATATGTGCCAAATATTTAAGACATTTGAACAAAATGGTAATTTTTGGGCCATAAAGAAATATATTAATTGAATGATAAAAAAAAGCCCAAATTAGAAGTCCACTTAATTTTTTAGGGTAGCAAAAATCAAATATAAAACAGGTCAATGATAACATGACTATAAATAGAGATAAACTCCTTGAGAGTGATGTAAGCCATTTTTTTTTTCGATGTCAGCGCTTCTCTCGTTATTCACTCTGTCTGAAACCTAATCCTTAACCCTATCTTACGACAAACTCGGCGAAATTCAATACAAAACAACTGTTTTACCGGAGATTTTCTCCCGTTAAAAGCTTAAAAAATTAAAATAAAAAAAGACATCCGAGAAATGTTGGTTTTGTGACCAACAGTAGGTGATTGAAAAATAAAATATTCGTCCCGATTTCTTAATATGTGTTGCTAAATCTTAACAGGTCGGTCAAAATTGGACGATAATATTACAAATCTATGATGAGCTAAAATATTTTTTGTTAAACGTAGTTTTTATAATTTTTTATTATTTTCAATGATCTGTGTCGTTTTTCGAAATTCTTTGTGAATAAGCTTCAAGAAATATCATATTTTATACATAATTCGAAATTATTTAGATGTTTTTCAAAATCGTTTTTCGAAGAGAACATGACATTGGTCGAACTTTTTCAAACTTTTATGTATTTTGTTCAGGGTTTGAAAAAATATGTAAGTTTCTAACAGATCTGTTCAGCTCTACTAACAAATATATAGGTAAGTTTATAACATATCTGTTCATATCTGTTTATAACATACATATGTAACTTTTATGTATTTTGTTCAGATTTTGAAAACTAAATAGTTCAATTCTTTGTCGTCTTTCTCATCATATCAGTAAGTGAAGCTTTGCTAACACTTGTTCAAAATCGCTTTTCGAAGTTGTTCAAAGTCTTTTGCCGAAGTTTTTCAAAATTTTTAGTATTTTGTTCAAAATTTGGAAATATTAGGTAAGTTTATAACAAATCTGTTTAGATATATTTATCACATATTAGGAATTTTTTGTTTAATGTTTAAAAGAATCTGTAGGAATTTTTATTTTTAAAACTTTTACGCAAAAAAATCGATACTAATATAAAGGCAGATGTCTTGGTAAAAGTTGAATGTGTTGATAATGATAGGGAAATCAAATTATTTTTCTTTCTATATTGTATAGTGTTCAATAATGTTCCACATAATTTGCTGTGTTTTTAATTTTGATTTTTTCATATAGATTTGACTTTTTTTTGTTGATTATTAATTATGCTTGATATTTCTATATTATGCAACAATCTGCCATTACATACAATGCCTTGTCAATTCTCATTCTTTGACTTTGGCAATTTCCGTTTAATATGACTTTTCTGTTGCTGAAAGTATGTTTTTAATGCATTAAAATATTGATGTTTTGGATATATTTTGATGCTATAATCATGCAGAAATTTGTCCCACCACTTTTTTCTTAAAGAGGAATTGTTTAATGAAAATTAATCATATTTATATTTATAATTGTGAAATAATATTTTTTTTCACGGCCAACAGTTATTTTTTTTAATGAAAAATATGAGACAATTTATTCAACACACTTTTTCATTTATAAGAAAAGAATGTTGATTGCGATAATCAAATATGCAGAAATCATGCATTTTATTGAATAATAGTAATATAAAATATTTTATTATTACTGCCAAATTGAAAGTCAAAGATAATTAATTTTGCACTATTAATTATGATCATATGGATTATTTTTATACATATGTTTTTCAATTAAATTTTGAAATGATAATATTGACAATATAGACTTTGCTATAATAATTATATAAACTGTGTTATAATAATAATTTGTTTATTTAATTCATTAATTTTTTTTTTAATTCATCTTATTATGCGTATAGTCTAAGTTTATAAATTATATGTCATTTAAATGTATCTATACTACTAATTTATAAGATTTTACCATTTGGGGAGCTAAATTTTTAATTTTAATTATGAAACTAATCTTTCTTATCATTTTGTAGTTATATGTTTGATTGAGTATGGCTGGAAATTAAATTAAGAAAAAAAATAATTTCATTTTTTATATTGTAATGTAACATGATATGTATTATAATGTTTGTAATTAATACATTTATTAATATTTCTTATAACTTTAATTGCTTAATAATGAAATAAAAAATAATAATATATAGTTTCTGCACAACAATAATGACTGTTACGTTTATATATATAAATGAGAATAAGAAACATAAATGTGGAATTAATTAAAAGAAACTTTTTTAATTTAGTCATTAACTAATTAAATTTAACTAAAAGGAATCTTCTTAAATGTGAGATTAATGAGTAATTAATTAAAAAAATGTAACTTCTTTTGGAGGGAAAATGAAAATATTTTTATTAAATGTTTTATTAAATGGGGTTAGCTAGCAATTATATATATATAGATTTAATAAAAATTATATTTATATTATAAAATATTATATATTCTTTTTAAGAATAGGATATTTATTCTATAAAAATAGAATACGAAAGAAAATCATTCATTTGTTCTGTTTTCGTTTTATAATTTACAGCTTTCAATAATTTTTAAGTTATAAAGGAGTTTATTTCTTAACCTTTTTCTCCTTTTCTGTTGTTGAGAACCCGTGTTATAATTTCATAGATTTTTTTTTTTACCTTTTTCCTTTATGGATATTTTTTAACCTTTATGATATTTAAATAAATTATCAATTAAATTTTCAAAATCAATCTATTTTTAAACCATTTGACATGAGTCTCCCTATTTATCTAGCCTTTTAATTTCTTGGTCTCTACTTAAATTTTAAAACAATATTTTCAGAACTGTTAGTGTGTTTCCATGTCTCTTGGCACCATCACCATGGCATGAACATTAATAGTAAAATTATAGTATTTAATTTTCATTCTTAGATTTGGTACAATCATTTTAGCATATTCTTTTGTTTGATTCACTTATTTTAGTTTTATTTTATGCTATATTATTTTAGCTTTAATTTTTTTGTACAGATTCTTTTGAGGCAATTTGCCAGAGTTTTTCCACATCTGTAGCTGACTTTGTCGTACGCGACTGCAAACTGGCACCCATAAGTCAACGCTACTGTCCTTCAGATTTCAAATTTCATGACTTTTGCGTCTTAGAATATCTATAAGCTATTTAAGATAATATAAATTATAATAAGAACCACTACAAAAGAATTTAATGACACTTGTATCTTAGTTAATTGTCAAAGTCATCCTCATGCACGAGAATTTAATTTCAAATTTGGTGTCAAATTTCTTTCCACAATTTTTTTTTTTTTTTAAATCCTAGATTGCTTGTGGCCCCCCACTTTAGTTAAGAATTATTAATTAAAAATAATTTGTTGTGTTTTGCTAAATTTGTGTCTAATCGAATTTTTTTATTGTTAGATCAATACACATGAATTTGTGTGAGATGACGGCAATGCCCTGCCCTCACTAGTAGAATCGAACTTACTCTGATTTTTTTGTATTTACGTTTCATGATACTATTACACCTCAATTATGCTTTATCATTAATATTTATATTAAAAAATATATTATGCACATGTTATTGGTGGTGTTAAATTAAATGTGTCTGACTCGACATAACTCGGCCCAGAAAGGGCTCAGGCTTAGGATCAAACTCGAGAAAGTTCGTGTTGGCTCGACTCGACTCGTTTACAGGCATACGTGTGGTGCATTTATTGCAATTTATATTCAAACTTGAAAATTAATGGTTTACAAATTTCTTGGTGACTATATGTGAAAGGTAATTAAGGCTTCTGTACAGTGATGGTATGTAGCATTTGGGTTTGGATATTTAAGGCCCAAGATATCTAAGTTGCTGGGCCTTGTCTGTATCCATATTATCTGTCCATAAGTTGGTGAATCACATTTTTGTTGAATATTTATTGGGCCCATCTTCAACAAGAAAATATATTAAAACAACCTAAGGTTCTCACTTCCCACAAGTTACTATGTGCAGTTCAATGACATTATTGCCATTTTCTTCATAGTATTCACTGAAACCTCTAAAGATGAACTAGCCAAGTTGAAATTAGCATGCAAAATAATTTGCACAAACATATATAACATTTTTAATTGAACAGAATAAAGCATAGCATATCCACCAAATAGATATCATGCTCAACCCCTGAGATTGATCTACCTAAATGATTAATGTCATTGACATGGCTTTATTCAAGTAGATTTGTCACAATCCCCATTAGTCATTACATAGAAATCTATCATTACAATTTTTTTTTTCAATTGTGATATAAACAATATAGAAATATTCATCAAATATTTTAACAGCGAAAAAACTCAAATAACTACTTTCAACTTATATCTGTTAATAACTCGTAATAATCATGTTGATCCATTTTTAATTTGATAGTTAAACATGCTTTACTAAATAATATCAAATATGCAGTACTTTATGGTGCTGG